CCACAGGGGTAAGGATAGTTAACGGAAGGAAACATGAGCTTTCTGAGGCCAAGTATAAAGTGGTGAAAAAGTTAAGGGCCATCATCTCAGCCTTTGAAGGCACTGAAAGAACTAGGAAAGCAAAATGCCACCTACACCAAAGATGGAAAGAAGTTTAGGAGGGAAGGGAGAATTATTCAGAAGACGTGGGATTGTGTGCCTTTGAAAACAGGTTTCTCACTGACATAAAGTTGGTACAATGGAAGGAGCCTTGGAAGAGGAATTTATGCAGTTGGGTCCTGGAGGCACCACTACATACCCAGTTACTTCAGCCATGAACTGTGGCACTATCCTCTTTCCTCATAATTAACTAATCATGGATCCCTCTACATTTTATATTCATTCCATTTCTTTCTGTCTTTTTTTTTTTTCACTGCCCAAGTTCAGGCCACTAACACCATTCACCTAGACCATTACAATGGTCTCCCACATGCTCTTCCTACATCCAGTTTTGTCCCACTCTAGTTCATTTTCCTTCTTCGAGTAAATGTTACAGAGCTTAGATATAGTAATACACAGCTTAAAATATTTTAGACTTTACGATAAAGCCTAAAGTCCATATTATCAGTAACACTCATATCCTCTCTCACATTCTATGTTCTAGTCACTCTGAAATTCTTCCAGTTTCCTGAATGCGTCATGTTCTCTCTTATCTATGGGCCTTTGCACTACTGTTTCCTATGCCTGAAATTTTCCCTACTTATTTAGATATCCACCACCTATTCTTCATGTTTCAATTTAAATAGTACAGAAATCTGATTATATAGACTACCCCAGATTTTTGTTATATACTCTTAGAGTAACCTGTATTACTTTTTGGCACATGTAACACAATCGTAATTAATTATGTACGTGATTATTTTTTTGTCTGAGCAGAAACCATGTATGTTTGGTTCACCACTGTAACACAGTATCTCATACAAGGTACATTCTAGACTCCTAGTATTTATCTGCTGAGCAAATAAATATAATTCCTGGTATCAATTTAAAACATACAAAACACACAAAACATTAAAACACTGAAATGAAAACTCTTAAAAGCTCTTGGAATGGAATGGTACCTGCTGTGGCATTTTCAAGGCGATTCCATTCTCTGTACTCACTGACGTCAGAGTGACAGATACTACTAGGAAAGGGTGAGGAATGTAGCGTGACATAGAGACTTCCTGAAGAACTTGAATACCAGCTGTAGTATTTGGGCTGCAAAAGAAAAAAAAAAAAGAAAGAAACCATACACCTCAATAATAATGCTAACAAGGTGGTTTTTATTTCTTTTTAGCTACTAAAAGTACCAGACTTCACTCCTATAGAGGGCTCAAATGCTTTCTACCTAAAGTTCCCTCCTCCCCAAATATTCTTCAAGCAGCAGACTGACAAGGCTGAAGTACCCAAAGAACATATTAGGAGATGAGGGAGAAAGGGAATAAGATGTGAAAGGAAGAAAAAACCTAGGGAAGAAGCTACAGCAATAGCTTAGTTGAGAAAGGACATGGATTCTACTTGAGGCTAGTTTATTTCTTAATTTTTATCTTTACATTATCCCCAATCACTAAGCTCTTTCAGCAAATACACACTTCATGGTTATTTAAAAAAAGAAAGAAACAAAAATCTGATAGCAAAATAAAACTGAAAGAGGTGCAGACTAAATGCTTTAAAGTCGCACAGCAGCAACAGGACTGCTGGTTTTTCCTGCCCGAGACTACAGCCATCTAGCTCAGGGGAAATACAAGTCAGACTGCTAAGGACACACTTCCTAAGGCCTTAAAGCTGTAGTCTTTCAGATTTCCTCAAGTGTCTGGATCACTAGGATAGTCAGTAACCGTTTGTTTTCAAGGTTGTGAAAAAACTAGTATCCAAGGGTTTATACCATCACAAACTAGATTTATTTTTTCTCCAAATGAATCTAGTAAGATTAGCTGAAGAAGTTAGTGTAGGCTCTTTAAGAAGCTAAAAAATAACTGCTTTATGAATATCAATAAACACTTGCTTTTTAAACTCCTAAAATGAAGGAAACTAAATATAAAATTAGAATAACTGTTTTGAGAAAATGACAACTACAGAACACACATGATAAACAGAAATAGTTTAGTTGGTTAAGCCAAACAGGAGCAAAAAGTGATTTGTCATATACTGTATACCTACCCATCAGATTTTCTTTCAATACTGTAAAGGCATATTGAACAGTCTGCTCTAAATACTATTACCATGTCCCGGAAGACACTAAGCAGTAATGTTTCAGCTTGTGCTTTGGTGATGTGAGCAAAGGCATTGTCCAAATTTGATGTTCGCAAGTAAACTCTGAGCTGAAGAAAACAAAAATAAAATGATAAAAACTATCCTACTATATATGAATAAATACTCTAGGTAATGCTTTTTTTTTCAAGTAAAAGGAATTAAAAGATGAATCTGAACATAATAATGTTTATATTCTCACCAAAATGCTATTGTGAGACACTCCTTTTAAGACCTGATAGGAGAACAGCAGTTTCTCAAAAAATAACCAAATCCATAAATTAATAAATTTCAAGAACAGCAGCCATCCTTACCAACTTTTCTGCTTTTAACTTTGTTACTTACCAACTTTATAGAGAATGCCTAATAGCTAAAATCCTTAAAGTTATCATAGCAGTCCTGATTATCTCTTTAAATAGATCTTTAAAGTAATAAACTGAAATGAAAATACTCTTAGCTATAGTTGATTAAAAAATGTTTTGTTCATTTTCTAATTATTTTTCTATAAAACCAAATGGTGTTTAATATCTTTAAGACATAAAAATCTATTATTTTCACAGAAAAAATCCTACCTCTTCTTGACGGTCACTTATGTTATAACATGCAAGCACAATGAAGTCATTCCACCAGGCTAAGCCACCTGTCACTGTCATATTTTGCTCCTAAAAGAAAACATATTTACCTTTACTTATGCTGCCAGAAATTATAATAAGCAATACATTTATAAAATATTCCTAAACAGACAATGAAAGCTCAAATTATTTCTGCTCAGTTACTTCTGCTTTATCGTCTGCCCCTCCAATTAAGTGTTATTCTAGGGTCTTTATTAATAATGATTCATATCCTATTTTGAAAAAATTGACATTTTTGTAAGAAAGAAAATATATCATTCAAAATAACTGAGTACCATGTAGCATCATTATCCCCACATTCAACAGACCTTTAAATTCTGGCTTTATCATTTATCAGATAAATGCAAATTTATTAAATGTTAATTTCCTTCTCTTTTACTCCTACTTGGTTCTTGAAAAATCCAACTACATTTGTTTGTAATATTATCCAAATATTTTTATCACACACAGGCAAGCAAGCAATAATCTCAAGTTGTGGAAATCTATTCTGATCAAATATGATGAACTCAAGCTGGAATGTAAGAGTAAATCCTCAAGGTAAAGAATTACAGTGTCTGATCTTTATGATAATTAAAAACCACCAACAACCATCTCAATACAAAGTGCTTTATCAAATACCAAGTAGTCTATCAGAATTAACTTTCAGAAGTAATTCAACATAATTTTCTATTATTTGACTTTATTTAAAAAATACTGACTTACTTGATGGTTATTTCATATTGTGATTCTTATATCTAAAAAATAACTGCTTTATGAATATCAATAAACACTTGCTTTTTAAACTCCTAAAATGAAGGAAACTAAATATAAAATTAGAATAACTGTTTTGAGAAAATGACAACTACAGAACACACATGATAAACAGAAATAGTTTAGTTGGTTAAGCCAAACAGGAGCAAAAAGTGATTTGTCATATACTATATACCTACCCATCAGATTTTCTTTCAATACTGTAAAGGCATATTGAACAGTCTGCTCTAAATACTATTACCATGTCCCGGAAGACACTAAGCAGTAATGTTTCAGCTTGTGCTTTGGTGATGTGAGCAAAGGCATTGTCCAAATTTGATGTTCGCAAGTAAACTCTGAGCTGAAGAAAACAAAAATAAAATGATAAAAACTATCCTACTATATATGAATAAATACTCTAGGTAATGCTTTTTTTTTCAAGTAAAAGGAATTAAAAGATGAATCTGAACATAATAATGTTTATATTCTCACCAAAATGCTATTGTGAGACACTCCTTTTAAGACCTGATAGGAGAACAGCAGTTTCTCAAAAAATAACCAAATCCATAAATTAATAAATTTCAAGAACAGCAGCCATCCTTACCAACTTTTCTGCTTTTAACTTTGTTACTTACCAACTTTATAGAGAATGCCTAATAGCTAAAATCCTTAAAGTTATCATAGCAGTCCTGATTATCTCTTTAAATAGATCTTTAAAGTAATAAACTGAAATGAAAATACTCTTAGCTATAGTTGATTAAAAAATGTTTTGTTCATTTTCTAATTATTTTTCTATAAAACCAAATGGTGTTTAATATCTTTAAGACATAAAAATCTATTATTTTCACAGAAAAAATCCTACCTCTTCTTGACGGTCACTTATGTTATAACATGCAAGCACAATGAAGTCATTCCACCAGGCTAAGCCACCTGTCACTGTCATATTTTGCTCCTAAAAGAAAACATATTTACCTTTACTTATGCTGCCAGAAATTATAATAAGCAATACATTTATAAAATATTCCTAAACAGACAATGAAAGCTCAAATTATTTCTGCTCAGTTACTTCTGCTTTATCGTCTGCCCCTCCAATTAAGTGTTATTCTAGGGTCTTTATTAATAATGATTCATATCCTATTTTGAAAAAATTGACATTTTTGTAAGAAAGAAAATATATCATTCAAAATAACTGAGTACCATGTAGCATCATTATCCCCACATTCAACAGACCTTTAAATTCTGGCTTTATCATTTATCAGATAAATGCAAATTTATTAAATGTTAATTTCCTTCTCTTTTACTCCTACTTGGTTCTTGAAAAATCCAACTACATTTGTTTGTAATATTATCCAAATATTTTTATCACACACAGGCAAGCAAGCAATAATCTCAAGTTGTGGAAATCTATTCTGATCAAATATGATGAACTCAAGCTGGAATGTAAGAGTAAATCCTCAAGGTAAAGAATTACAGTGTCTGATCTTTATGATAATTAAAAACCACCAACAACCATCTCAATACAAAGTGCTTTATCAAATACCAAGTAGTCTATCAGAATTAACTTTCAGAAGTAATTCAACATAATTTTCTATTATTTGACTTTATTTAAAAAATACTGACTTACTTGATGGTTATTTCATATTGTGATTCTTATAGTTTGAGAAATCAGTTTATAACTTCAAATAGACTCACCTGGGTAATGTTTCCAAAAAGTTTCCATTTTTTGGTGAGTAAAGAGTAGTGTGCAAAACCAAACTTGCCAACCACAGCAATATTCTGTCCAAGCTTGTCAATAGCTGAAAACTGATTAACAAAAAAATTAAGAATTTTTCCTTGCAAACCTATATATTTTATTAGATATAAAGAGCTTAGTGTTGTGTCAGGCAAAAAAAAACTATTAATAAATGTTTGCTAAGTAGTTATATGTAAAATGCTAAGTTTAAAAATTTGCATGCCAGTACACTAACAATGTCCAAGGGACCAAATATTCATATTTTACTTTAAAAAATGCAACCACTGAAAGACTCAGTTAATACCAACAAAATAACAACTCACCCGTATAGGCCAATTGGTCTCTAGATAGGTGTTGGAAATCTATAGAAAATAACACATCAATTTGGTTAAGACTTCTGAAATATATTTAAACTTAAAAGAATTAACATCAAAATATGATATTCATTTTCCTGTAAAATGTTTAAACTGTTTTCAAATAATGGGTATTACTAGCAGAGGACTTGGAACTTACCATTTGGATACCAACCAGTATTTCACATGTCCTGTCTTAATCATTCATCTCATTTTAAGTTTCTAAGCATCAGGCTTTCTTCTTTTTTTCTCTACACTGTTTTTGTTTGTTTTAAATATTGAGCACTCAATAAATACAGACTGACAAAGACTTTTAGATAAGCATCTACAAGGGCAGCCAAGAATTGTGTATATAACCACAATTCAAGTTTGCTGATCTGAATCATTCCAGAACAACTTTATCTAATAAAATGAGAACCTCACAAGAGTTTTGTTTTTGTTTTTTAATGGAAATATTTTCATTATTTTTATGTTTTTCTGATTAAAAAAGCAATACATGCTTATAAAACTTATATATAAAAAATGTACGAAGTACAAGATGAAATTCTCCTGTTATATCGTTGTTCAGGGATAACCACTGGTTAGTTTTTATTCTATCTCTAAACATCTATATACATGTAAGAGTGGCTATAAGCTACTGTTTATTATAGATATTAACTCTGCACCTACAAAGTAAGTAGTAAATATACCTTTCCCATGTTGTCTTACACTTCTGTACAGTCTTTGTATCACTCTACCAAGAATTTTAAACTTAAAGAATCCTCTGTGAGTAATGAATATAGATTAAGAAAATTCTCGCTTTACTGAGACTGATCTATTAGCATACTGATTAAGTAGTTTTCAGTTTTCATGAGCATGTAGTGAGTGCAGAGTGAAAATCAAGAGAATGACAAATAAGAAAAAATCTTCTGTTACTAGAATAAGTGAGCTTTCAATTTATTCAAATCTATTTTTGGTTTTACTCAAAGAAAAATTATTACGTATTTTAAGAGACAGTCAAATTAAAAAGCCAGGTAAATGCAATCAAATCCAATAAAATTCTTTGTGTAATGTGAAGGCAAAACAAAAAGCAAAAATATGCTGAAAAAATCTGTATTAGTCTTGATAAAATGTATTCATAAAACTGCTAGATTTCACTTATTATGTAGAAAGTCAACCTAAAATCTAGGTAAAGTAAGTAGCTTTCAGTATATCAGGAAGTTCTTAAAACTCTAGTGCTGGTTTGTGGGCACCTACCTTATAGGATAAGAGGTAGCAGTGTCACAATACATGCTTGAACAATGCTTAACTTGTATCTTACCAGATATACTGTACTATTTAGGCCAGTTAATAAAATTCACTATTATGGTTGAAATCAATTCAGGATAATGGTAATTTGAGGTAGTGATCAGGTGGCCAACTATAAGTTTAGAGCCATTTTGTAGGAAGGTGTGAGTGAAATTATTTTTGTGGATAAAAAAAATGAAAATAGGCACTTCAAGAAGGATGTATGTAGCATATAATTGAGCCAGCCATTCATGATAACAAAAAGAATGCCTAATTCTCCCAAACCATGGTGTTTCATCAGTATTCAGGAAACATGTGGATGGGATTTCAACATGGAGTCCAACATAAAGAGTTTCTAATCATAGAAGCCAAGATTAAATCTTATCATATGATGCCTCACTAATGAATCTCTCCAGGAGAAAACAACTTGTTCTTTTAACCTCCAGAAGTATATGAAGTGCCATAAATGGCAAATGAGTTTATTTTCACAACTCAAAGCTTATTTAAAATGAAACTTACTTCTCAAGCAGTTTGAGTCTGAAGATGCTATGAGAACAAAAACTTTAATTTTCCCCAGTAGGTCACCTTTATTTATCTACATGTCACCTGAACATTGAGCTCTGCCTCTAATACTGAGAATAGGAAACAGCAGAGGTAAGGAAAAGAGGCAGCTAATGAATAATAAACTCAGGTCAGGACTGATTACTCAGGGCACAAGAGTCTTGTCACACTACTGGGAGTGGCAAATCTGAGCACTAAGAGACAGAATATCTACTCTTTAAACATTTTGGAATTCTCCATTCTTCAAAAGAACCTAAATCTACCTTTTTCCCCCTTACAGTCACTCTGCTAAAACCCCGTTTCTTGCCTAGACTACTTTTGTCTGAAACTGATGAGACTGAGAGCCATCCTTCTAACAAATTTGATCTGTGCTAAATACTACATCTGGTAGGTACATCTGATACACATTGTAGCAAAGAGAGTAAATCTTTATAAATGAAAGTCTTTAAAATCCTCTCTGTTAACATCCCTAATATATTATTGCCTGATACACTGTAGGCACTCATCTCCCACATTTTGTGAAACTTATTCTTTTCCAAATAACCAGGTTAACTATAAAACCAACATTTCAGAACAATGGATGATAATGATTCACATACCTTTCAGAAACAAATGTTTCTATCATACAAAATATTGAGTGTTAAAATAAATGGCAGTCCAAGAAGGAACACCTACAACTACAAAGATGATCTTGTTTTGTTTTGTTTTATATGCCATTATTTGTGCTCCATCTGTCAAGAAATTACTTGCAAATTTTTAGAATTTGTAACTAAGAAAACTAACCCCCCTCCCAATCTTCATAGCAACTCCTAATCTTGCTTCTGACCAGTCTGTACTTATGTTGTTTTAAAGGAAAAAACATAATTAACACAGAATCTGCTGACCAGGAAACTGGTGAGTATAAAGTAGAAGGCTTAAACAAACAAACAATCAATCCAGTAGTCTAGATGAGGAACAGACAGAGCAGCAGAATTAGCTGGAGTTCATTTGATGAACTCTTAAGCTGTACAAAAAACATAAAAACCATAAATCATGCAAACAAAGCCACTTAGAGGGAGAATGTGGGCACTTATTCTAGACAAAAGCATATGTTGAAGGGGAAATTGAATAGGTACTCAACTTCTTCAGGGAATCAATATTAATGGCTAAAAAGCCTTGAAGGTAGAGCATTAGCATTATAGGGGCTCTGTAAACCACCCTACCAAAATACCACAACACTCTACTGACACATGTGGCTGGAGTGCCACCAAACAAAGTAGAGAATTTGATCTGTGGAAGTGATCCACTTGGAAGCAAATCCCAAGTGGAAGGACTGCCAAATGGGCACATTGCAGATTTTATCTTGAGGTCAGCAGTATATGATATGATTCAACAATACCTGGGTTTTAAAACATGTTAGCTTGTTAGTTTAATTTCTATCACAATAAGGATAAGTCTGCCATTACTCTGCTGTGTGACTCTGGGCAAGTCACCTAACTTCCCTGAGCCTAAGGTTCCTCATGTATAAAATCCAGTTGGACTAAATGATCTCTAAAGTCTTTTCAGCTCTACAAATTCTGAGTCTATTATAACTTAATTGTTTTGAGAGTACAACTCTGGCATTATTTTTATTAGTTTTAAGGAAACTGAAAAAATTAAGTAAAGTTAGCTCATCATTCTGAGTATTTTAGGGATCTAAAGAACAGAATGACAGAGGAATCTTGCTGGTACCTACTTTGCCTAAAATCATAAACTCAGTGTGCTTCTAATATGGGATACTTCATAGATGGATCAGAATCAAAGAATCACTGAATTTTTGAGCTGGAAGGAAATTCAATTTTTGTTATTGCCTGATGGATTTTTGAGTTCCAGACCTACCTTCTGTGATCCTCTGCTCTACTTGGCTCTCTGCAACACAGACCTGGCTAGGCAGAACTGGCATTGATGCTAGGTCAGTGTAGAATGAATAGTTCAAAGTATGGGGAAATGAAAATAGCAGAGAAATGGCTATAGGAGAGAAGGGAGCAGTGGAAAATTTTAGTCAAAAGAAGTAGCTGTTGCAGTTTTATTTAATAAATGTTACTAATTATAAAATGGTATGCACAGTTTGATTTTATGAATTTATTAATGTAAGTTAAACACATTTTTCTCTTGGTGTATACCACATTTCAATGGAGGAGACAGTCTGCCTTTAATTTTTCACATAATGACCATTTTTTTCTGTCTCTCATTATCTCCACTCAGAGTCAACTGAAAATAACGTGGGAGCTGAAGTATACTAGTAAGGTCAAAGTATAGGATGTAGAACTGAGAACTGTGGAAACAGAAACTGACTAAAAGAAACTTATCCAAGAGTAGGCTCTGATGTACCTAAGACACTTTAGTATAAAAAAGGAAAAGAAAACACTCAGGACTTTGAAACTGTGTAAAGAAGTTTCTTTTAAGAAACATCATTTTACTGATTTATCCAAATTAATTTTAATTTGGCATCAAAATTCAGAGTTAATTTCTATATTAAATGCCAATTTATCAGAATTACTAGAAGAAACTAGTTTAAAAGTTATAGCA